TATGTGATTTATGAAAAAAATATTAAACACGTTACAATTCGTTAAAGTGGATCCACTGATGATTCATTGGAGTTGATTGGAAGATAATGATTTAAATTGTAACTTAATTAATTCACTAATCTTGTTCATTAATACTAAATCCACCCTTAACTACAGTCGTGATTGACCCTCGGCATCCTCCTCCTCCTCCTCAAGGTTACAACTTGTTTGTCTCGACTTAATGGTTACTGGAATTTACTTTTAAGTAATTCTCTATTCTAAACTAGTTTAAATAAAATAAAATACTTTTTCTATCAATTGAAAGTAATGCTTAAAAAATTGGATCAAAAAAGATAAAAGGTTAGAGGATGAAAATAAATAAAAAATAAAAACAAATAATCTTCATTTTTATAAATGAACTCGTAAAATAAGCTGGCTCTGGTGAGGTGAATCGGCTGATTCTGAAGTTATTTTAACATGTTTTAACTTATTGATTTATTATTATTATTATTATAATCATATGAGCTTGTCTGGACATGCTTTAAATTCAATTTCCTACCGTTAATGGAAGTAAAAAAACAGTCGTTGGACTGGCGCTGTCAGAATAAATTGAGTGCACTTTTACCAATTTGTCCTTGCCAACTCTCTTTGACTTTTCAAACCATATTACGTGAAAATTGCTGTGAGGAGGGCAAATGTGAAAATTGGCTGGCCAAAAGCTGAATTTCAGTCTGCGCAATTTCTGTAAGTTTTGTCCTTAAAATTGTTGTTAACGGTCGTTAAAATACTTATAAGCATTGCCAGACAGCCTCCTATTTCAATTTTCTCAATTGAACTCGTCAATTCAGTCCGAATCTTATAATAATGAAAGTAAAAGTAACTTATTTCGACTATTAAGTAAGTGCTACTTAAAATTGCTAACTTATTTATTTTTAATTCTGTCCAACATAAAGAATTTTTTTTTATAAAATTATTTACTTATAAGTAACTTGTTTAATACTAGCCAAACATGCATTTAATCCACTCATTCTTCCATTAATCCTTTTTTCAAAACCTTGTTTCTCTCCCTCTGTTTCTCTTTCTAATCATCCATTTCTTGATCAATTATCAAAATCTCAAATCTTTTCCTGTGAACAATCAAAAAAGAGCCTCTCAAATGCAAAAGTAAAAAGAAAGGAAAAAATACATTGCCACCACCAGCAGCAAGACCAGCAGTGCCCTCAAGAAACAAGAAGATTCACATGAATAAAATAACGAGAAAACTTCCACAATACCATTGCAAACCTCAATCGACCAATCTTTATCTTCCATTTTCTTATCCTAAAGATTTTTTCAGATTTCTTGACGATTTTTTTCAAACCCTAGCATTGTTCTTTGTTTCAAGAAAATCTGAAAAAGATTAAGATCAGCAGATTGGTCTTTGGTCTCAAAGTAGGGGATTTAGTAACTGGGTGTTCTGCAAATCTTCAAAATTTTAAGAGAATAATGTCTCAGTTGATGCACATTGATAATATTCCATCAACCCAAGGGAAGTTCAAGATGGAGAAATCGCCATATCATAGGCAGAGGCTCTATTCATCTTTAGCCAAGCTCACGTTTTGGTCTTTTGTTTTCATTGGGTTGATCTTAATGTTCTTGTTTAGATCATCATCATCACAAGTCACTTCAGATCTCTCGAGGAGGTCTTTAAGAACCAGTTCTTATGGTGGCCCAGTGTGGGAAAAAAGGATCAAGGCCTCAGCTAAAATCAGGTCAAAAAATGGGTTTTCTGTTTTGGTGACCGGGGCTGCTGGCTTTGTAGGTACCCATGTATCGGCTGCCCTCAAACGCAGGGGTGATGGCGTTTTGGGGCTTGATAATTTCAACGATTACTATGATCCGTCCCTTAAAAGGGCGCGGCAGGCACTATTGGAGCGCACCGGTGTGTACATTGTGGAGGGTGATATCAATGATGTTGCCCTCTTGAAGAAGCTTTTTGATATTGTTGCATTCACCCATGTTATGCATTTGGCCGCACAGGCCGGTGTGAGGTATGCCATGGAAAATCCTAGCTCCTATGTGCATAGTAATATTGCTGGTCTTGTTAGTGTGCTTGAGGTTTGCAAAAGTGTCAATCCCCAGCCTGCAATTGTGTGGGCATCTAGTAGTTCTGTTTATGGATTAAATACTAAGGTGCCCTTTTTGGAGAGGGATAGAACAGACCAGCCGGCTAGTTTGTATGCAGCCACTAAGAAGGCTGGTGAGGGAATTGCACATACATATAACCATATATATGGACTTTCACTTACCGGATTGAGGTTCTTCACAGTTTATGGACCCTGGGGTAGGCCGGATATGGCATATTTCTTTTTCACACAGGATATTTTGAAAGGGAAGTCAATTCCCATCTTTGAGGCACCTAATCATGGAACTGTGGCTAGAGACTTTACATATATTGATGATATTGTGAAGGGTTGTTTGGCGGCGCTGGACACTGCTGAGAAGAGCACTGGTAGTGGTGGCAAGAAAAGTGGGCCGGCACAACTGCGCGTTTACAATTTGGGGAACACTTCTCCTGTGCCTGTTTCGGATCTTGTTAGCATTTTAGAAAGATTACTCAAAGTAAAGGCAAAGAGGTTAGTTATGAAGTTGCCTAGGAATGGGGATGTGCAGTTTACACATGCTAACATAAGCTTGGCTCAGAGAGAGCTCGGATATAAGCCCACAACAGATCTGCAAACAGGATTGAAGAAATTTGTTCGATGGTATCTCAGTTACTATGGCCATGGGAAGAAAAGTGCGCTGTGATACATTCTTTTCATTTGTGCCGTAGGATCATTCTATTCTTGTTCAATATGATTCTTGTGATTGTTTTTAACCTGTCACAGTTTGTAGCCTAGTTATCTTGTTTTCGCATATATCTTAAGGATAAAAATTGTAATCCCACAATGGAAAGGTTCTTTTGGTTGGTCATGATTGCTTTCATGGGAAAATCGATGCGTACCAAAAGACAAAACCCAACTTTTTCACTCTTGGAAATGTAATTGTTTTAGTTCTATCATTGTAGAATTCTTGACTGATAGAGCAATTTTCTGATTGATTGAAGTGCATCACCTTTATGGAGTTCAAATGAAATAGCACACAATAGTTGGCTGTTGCTTTCTGTGTTTAGATTTCTTAAATGATTTTTTACTCAAAATTACTGCTGCTAAGTTTGTGTTGTATTGGTTGCCCACTTTATTGGCTTAAGCACATTTACGATGTGCTTATTGATCATGCTGCATCATCTTACCATTTACACATTTACTGTAAGAAGCTCTATGTTAGTTAAGATTTCCCTTACTTTCTCTGCCTTGCTTTTATGATATTTGGATCCTTATAGTTGCTGCTAGTACTTGGAAGCCTTGAATTGAGGATATAGTGGATTTAGTTGATGAATCTATATTTGATCTCCAAGAAATATCTGTCTCTAGCATTTTTCTGTCTTTAGGTCAGTTGATTTGCCAGAAATACGGGAACGTGAGATGAGAGCCATTATGATTTAAGAAAACTTTTTGATGAGATTTTTAGCTGATGATGAATTTGAAACTGTAGTTAAAGCCTTATCTACAGGTTGTCTTGGAGACATTTAGTACTATGTACCAAACATGTAATCAAATTTGTTCTTTACTATGTACCAAACAATCCCTCCCTTATTTAGACTGGTTCAAGTATAATATGAAGTTACAAGTTCGAAGTTTTAGCAATTTTTACATCCCGTTGTGACTTGGCTGAATTTTTCTCATACCCATGCATAGATCTTTCTACTATTCGGATGTAACTCTTGTGGCATGTTTGCTATGAAAAATTGCATAAAATCTTGTTCCATGTTCATTGTAGGATTGAGGTCCTGTTTGTTTCTGATTCTCAAATCAATTCTCAAATCAATTCTCATTTTCAACCACACATTCTTCAATAAAATAATATTTTCCATCACATCAATAATCTTATCTTCTTTTTCAACCACACATTTCCCATCATATCACTATTCAAAATCAATTCTTCCCCCAAAAAATCCCTACCAAACAAGCTCTTAAATATAAACTAGGCAAACGTGCATTGCACGTTGCTTAAAAAACCTCATAAATGGGGATCTCAAGCAATATTAAGGCCCCGTTTGGTACGGATTCTCCAATTCTACAGTAAATCAATTCTCATTTTCAACCACACATTCTTCAATAAAATAATATTTTCCATCACATCAATAATCTTATCTTCTTTTTCAACCACACATTTCTCATCATATCACTATTCAAAATCAATTCTTCCCCCAAAAATCCCTACCAAACAGGCTCTGAGTATTGTGTACCAACCATGCACTTATTGTCTAGCCTTGTGTAGCTTGCTTTGGCAATTCTTTCATTTTCAACCAAGTAAACTATTTTTGCCTTTTCTATAAAGAATCCTGCTATTGGAAATTTCTGAATTATATCTTTGTACCTGGCTTTCTTAAGATGAATTTAGCCTAACATGCTAAAACAACCCGTGGGGTAAAACACGTCGCCAAGGAATTTCAAAGAAGGGAACACTTCAGTCTCTATCCTTCAAACAAGGAAACCAACAAATTTTCACAACCTAAAGGTTAATTGTTGTATAATTTCAACCAAATTAGAAATAATTGTTCTTATAAATATACACTTCATAAGAAAAACAACCACGTAAAAAGTCTGAAAATTGGGATGAATTCTACTCAAAAAGAATTAAGCGAACTATCAATTACTTGCAAAGGTGCCAATTTTGATCAACAAGATGTCAGCGTGATATGCGTTTCCTCGCTTCTTGGGAGACCTACTGGCCATGACAAAATGGTTAGTGGAAGATAGGAAAAAGGGTACAATAAAACTCGAGTCAAAATACTGAGATTGGTAGAATACACGCGCCCCTGGAATTATAAACTCCATGTGCATCAAACTGCTCCAAACTCCAAACAAATTGGTCGATACCCTGCAAACTTACGATGAAGGATCCAGGTCCATGGCCATATAACCTTGTGGACATTGGATTTAAAAATCATATTTCGTTCTTCCACTCTTTAGGATAAGACACAACATATCTGAGATGTCAGAAGAAGAGGAATGTAAGAAATTCCAAGACTCGAGCATAAGTCGTTTTCGTGACCCCTTGAAATGAACCACCTGTCTCCAGAATTGAGCCAGATTAGAGATTGAAAGATGTATTCAAGAAACCTTCGTAAAATAAATGAAAACTAAAATTTCTACAAAAACTCGTACTAGCCTTAGCTATTTCTCAATAATCAAGTTCCCTATTGAAGGGTGGGGAGGAGGGGGGTTACAGGCAATGGGTTCTCCTTTTATATATTTTTACCTATAAGTGAGGATATAATGGTCTTGTCAAAGAACTGGCTTTTTAAGAGTCAAATGGATGGAATCCATTATCCATCATTGTGGACTGACGATACAACAAAGATGATAAGTTAGCAAGGATGTATCCAGCAAAACTAGGTTGGGGATGAAGTAGAAACACGATATTTCCAGAAGTAAATAAATCTCAAGGAAGAAATACCCAAAAACTGGTCCTAAAACCTTGGCCTCTGTTTGGGAAGAATTTATAAACGGTTTAATTTATAATTAGATAGAAATAAGTGATGGATAAGTGGATACTACTTGGGGTTCATTAAAAATGTATAGTTGAAAATCAAGTTTGACCAAATGACTTATAAATTTTGCCAAACGTAGGCTTGGCAATTTGTCAAGGTTATATGTGATAACCAAATGCGCTTCTTACCTTCACATCCAGGGGCATCCCGTGAAATTGACCTGCACCCTCTGGTGGTGTCCAATTGTAAATAGAACATGGTAAGAAAAGCACGGAAGCACCGCCAATTTCATCTATGAAAGCCTCTCTTCTAGTGAACCTTCTTACATCAAAGGAAGGTTGAGATTTGACAACCCAGAAAAGAGCCAATTGATCTCCAAGCATTCGAGAAGCTTTCATGAATTTGGAACTGTAAACTTTCAGTACTTCCTGAAAGAAAGCCTTTGCCCTGCGCACAAGAAGTACATTGATTTAGTAAGAGAGATGAGGGGGAAAAAAAAGGTTTGCACATCAAATTGTAACAAATGATTCCAAGAGGAGATAAAATCTATTTATATAAATTATGAAAGTTGCAGCATGATAGATCAGCCAAAGCCTAAAAAATGTAAGTAATTATTTTTGTATCTGCAAGTACCTAATCTTAGGTGTTCATTCAAGTATTGACCCAAAAAGTGGATGCCTCCAGAAAGGCACAACTTTTGCACACTCTCTATCCACTAAGCATTTCGTGAATGCTTGTCCAGTGTATCTTATAAGTGAATGCGAAACCTTCTTTACACCTTTCACACCGCACGACATTCACAGAAAATTGAAATATAACCAGAAAATAGTGCACCTTAGAATTCCTTCGGCTGTGCCTCTCACTGCTATGAAGCCTGAATTGAGAGGTTGCTCTTTGTTGTTTCGGAAGGTGAGAGCCAGATCAAAATTAGAATATTCAGCAAACATTTGTCCCAGGTCATTTACTACTGCAATATCCGAGTCAGTAAAAATGTAATGACGGACCTTCCCCTGCCTCTGACTCTGTTTCTCAAGCACTATCTCTAGAAAGGCCTGCAGAAATATGAATCAATTGTAAAACCAAAGTATAATATTCTTAAGTGGAAGTAAGAGTAGATATTTTATCTAGATTAAGCTTAGATAAAATAATTTCTGCCACCAGTTTTTTTGTAAAAGATTCCTCACACAAAACTAGAATATTAACAAACACCTCAGAGTATAAAAGTGAGAACTAGAGTACAAGATTAAGAGCTAAAGGTTGGGTTCTTGAAGCAGAGTTCCCAAGTTCAAGTACAACAAACATGCAAGAAGAGTCAACTTAAATTTTAGTGTCTGCCCCACTAAACTTCTATCACAGTGGCAAAAATTATGTAGATACATAGATAAATTGTTCGCACCTATAACCATATTGGAGAGTGAAGTTCTAGGTAAGAAACTCAAGAAATGTTAGAATTTATAAAAAGAAAAGAAAAATGGTGTTCACCATGCCAGCCAAAATGGCAGATATATTGGACACTTCTCAGTGAATATAACGAGCCTCGCCCTCTACCCATAACAATCCCAACAAAATGTTCAAATTATGCTGTACATCACTATTCTTATATATAAACGTTTGTAAAACAAGTACTGGATTCTCCGACTCCGGAAAATCTGCCGTGAGGTCAAGTATATTAACAGTTGCTTGTGATCAATTATTCCATCATATATAGGTATATAACCAATTATATAGAAAATATTTCGGCTTTTAATGTCCTGTAAAACATTAAAACATATCTTCAGCGAATGATAAAACAGAAAGTGTCACTTTCCAACAGTGCATTGCACACTTACAATGTAAGACCTGATTCTTTGGAGCATCAACAAGTCCCTCGAATATTCACCTTGTATTGGATGTATGGTAACCTTATCTCTGTGCACCGGAAGCTCGGAGGCTGGATCTGTAAGTATAATAACGTCACTCTGTGGCATGGTAACCTGCAAGTATTCATTTGGTATATAATTTGAGATCCTAATTTGAATAGAAATGTTCATAAAGTAATTGCACATAGAAAATAACTAAATGTCAGGAGCAAGAATAGAATTGCCTGTGAAAATATAGCTTTCAAGTGAATTTAGGTCCCTAGCAATGATTTCTTTTGCAGCAGAGAAAGCGATGCTACAGAGTCAAAAATTATCAATCAATGATGTATTTAGTATAAAAAATGGTAAACCAAACTTTTAACAGTATTTTTTTAGAACATGTTACCATTACACCATGAGCAAAGTATGTCATTTTAGTGCATTGAAGAGGCTGTGCTAGTTGAGTAAGTTATCTAACTATGCAATTCGGCTCAAAACAGAACAAGATCAACTTTTCTCAAGACCTGACCTAAAAGCAATATAATTATTTAAAATCCAATTTTTTATCATGTAATATTGATGAATTGTTCTAATAATTTTCTTCACAAGAATTTGACAGCCCAAACGGGTGATAAAGGGAACGAGATATATTAGTTCTTGACTCCTGTATGCATCCAGACTGTATTTCAGTATTTGTCAAAAGCAGATATACATTAATGGAAAATTTTGGAGTTAAGTTTTTATTTTCGCTTTTTGACAATTGCTGCAAATCTATAAAGCTTCAATATAAAATTCCGAATTCAGAGCCTGACAGAATCAGTACACAAACAAATTATAGGAAATTCTTTGTATTGTTATTTTTAACACATAGCATACCTTTATATACATGTCTGTAATAGAAATCGACATATAAGCTGAATCATTGAAAATATTCTAGATAATTTAACCTTCAACTCTAGTTCTGTGAAAATATTACTTGGATATACCTGAATGAAATTTATAAATACATTCAAAATAGCCATTGATCTCTCAACTTTGTTGTATGAAGTGTCCCCAACAGTGACCAAATCAACTGGTCTGCCATTGACTCGCCTGTCAACTGTAGAGTTGTAGGTCGCAAAAAAAGTGACGAACACGACGAGATCTTCAGAATGAGAATCATTAGGGAATGTTCTGGATGTCTTATTAAGAGCCTTGGTGCCTGCAGCACACATGCAGATAAACGTGCAATCAACCATGAGATCCCCTACACGCCCGTGCAAAATATAGAAAAAATCTAAATCCCTATCAAAGAGGAAAGAAGATGTACAAAACCTTGACACTGTAGGCGATCAGGCAGGCCTTCACCAGAAGCGGGCCCAAGAACTAGACGATCAAATTTCTTAGGCTTCTCTTTGTGTTGATATTGTACACTTGAGTGTTGCCGCAATTCCAAAACTGACATGAAGCAAACAAGTGATTGCATGAGTTTTATCAGCATTAAAAGGTTAACAAAATTTAAAAAAAGGCAAATGGTAATGACTACCCATCTTTATTATGTTCCATGAGTCAATTTTTGTGTGAATTAACATACAATGGTAATTGATAATTACACGATGCAATTCTCCATGGGACTTGCAGTTCCCTGGAAATCATATTACCTGGGAGCATATGAGCAAAAACGAAGATGACAGGCAGGCATAAAACGAATCGCTTCCATCCACTAAATGATCTCTTGTTTAACATACTTATCCCTCTGTCGAAACCCGGATTCCAACTTGCCAAGGCTCCAAAAATGCAGTTCAATACAATAAAAAAAGCATAGCAATGGGACGAAGCAGAACCGAAGGCTTCCTTCAAATTTCCACAGAACGCGGTGATGGCAGGTTTTGGCGTTGGTGAATTATTAGCCCATCAATTTGAGAGTCCAAAAATCAATTTGCGCCTGGAATTTTTCGCAGAACGTGATAGCGATGCGAGTTTTGATTGGGTGAGTTAGGAGAATGGTGAATCCAGACTACAGATTCTTTTTATTGGTTTGGTTTTGCTGATATTTTATCGGTATGGAATTCTAAAGCCTAAAAATTTAGGTTTATATTCATCGATTATGGCGGTGGAGTTCCAGTGGTGGTGGCCGGGTAGCCGTGTAAGCGAGGATTTGGGTGGATCAAGAAAGATGGTAGAATTATTTCATTTTCTATTTATTTTTTCCTCTCGTCATTTTACTCTTTCCGCCCCCATAAAAATACCTTATTTTTACGCTTTCGGTTAGAGGTGTCAAGACGGACGGGCCGATCATGACCCGTAAAAACCGGCCCGTGAAAACCGGGACCGCGGGCTTACCCGTGTCCCGCGCGGGCGGTT